CCTTGATAATACGTTCATTTTTTCAATTGAATATAATTTTCAGATTAGGGGTATATTTTGTTTTGTGTGTGCAAAGATTGTAGTAATTTTAAAAGATGAATTCATGTGTTGATTAAAGCACCAGTGAAGCTTAGGGTAAAATATCACTAAGCTAGCGTACATTCAGTTCAGCACGAACTCAGCTGCATGCTTTATTATATATTTTTGGGTTATGATAATGATTTTTCAATAGGTTTACTTATGAAAATTAAGTCATCTCAGCATCAGTCGAGTGGTAAAGCCATTACAACGACCTCAATAAACCATTTAATGGGTAGTGGCGATGGGCAGTGTGTACAAAGGGCAGGGATGTAATCAGCGAAAGCTTAGCTTATGACTTGCACTTAACTGGAATTTCTCGTTCATGGGGAATAATTGCAAGCCTAGATCCCAGTCACGATGGTGATGAAACAGTTTGCCAAACCTTTCCAGGCTAGGTTTCCAGACTCGCTGGTACTGTTTTTGTAGCGCACGTGTGGCCACTGGACATCTAAGGGCATCACATACTTGTTATTGCTCAATTTCGTGCGACTTAGGTGCGACACTTTTTCCTCTAAGAGTTAAACTTGGCAATGCACTCGCCGTACCACGACCACACTACTCCATGAAAAAGCAATGAAAGCCGAGCCTTAGACGAGCACAGAGGATCAGTCTACTATTTAGCAGGTTAAAGTCTTGTTTGTTGTTAGAATCAACCAGATAAATCGCTCCACCAACTAAAAATGGCCATCCAGTGCTTCCAGGTTTTCCATAATGGTTTAGCTTCGATCGACTCATAAATTCAACTAGTGAATATAATTTGTTCATACATAATCGGTCTACTTCAACGTTTAGCTAAATTTCATAGTTTTTTTTTATGAGTAGCGAGTAGGTTATCTTGATTCATTCGATTTTTTAGACTTCTGATTTCTTCTATATAGTTAATTTTATACACTCATAATAGTAGCACCGTTTTCATATATGAACCAAGGATAATGTTGATGTACTGGTGGCTACGTAATGTAATTTTTCAATGCTATCACAGGAATTTTGACGAATTTCAGTGATTGATATGAAAACCTTTCGAAATATGAAAAATTTGACGGGAACTGGAGGCTCAGTATATAAAAGACATTAGATGCATACAATATATTTGAAACTACCTGAGCAATCGAGATTTTAACAACTTAGACGAGTCACATGGCGATAAGCATTTGAGCTTCGTCAAGGAAATAATCAAAATCAAAGTTATCTAGGGTAAATAAGGCCTAGAAAGTTTATATTAAACTCTCGTCTAAACGTGCTCAAATATTGATTCGATATATAACGAGAATATCGGTTATTTGATGTGACATGAGTGCAAATATGACATATGTATGAGTGTGTGTACATACCTCTGTATGTAAATGCCATTAAAACATTAAACTTAGCAAGAAATAGTTGTATGGTATGTTGTGAAGTTAAAATTAAAAGTTCTTGAAAATAAATCCGAACGCTATCACTGACTAACTAATTAAAATTCCTTGTTATTGAAGTCATGTTATGTGTGGTATGGATTGAGATAAATGTTAATAACGATGTGTTTTTCCATAAATCGATAGCTACCAAGGTGTTACTAACGGTATTCCATCTCTTCTATCCAAAATTTCTTGATTTTTCCATATAACCAAGACATCAGCTATTCATCTTTCTATAAAAGCACAAAGACATTTCTGAAATTATTTGGTTCCATCAAAATCAATTTTATTTACTGTCACTAACCAGTTTAGTTTTACTGTTCACTGATTCTTAAGCTTCATAAAGTCTTTCAAGGATTTATTAAAAGATTTCAAACATTATTTATGCTCTCTTTCAACGTCACCTTTAACTGTCTGGATGTTTTACTCACAAAATTGTTAATGCCTTGAAAATTTATTTTCTATTTGTTTCATTAAGTGACAAAAATAATGAAATTATTCTTTATAAACCCTTATTACCTGCATCAATCAGCCTATTTGGAAGTTTTATGATATTTATGGCAAACAACAGCATCCACAACATCCTACTTTATTCTTAACTCATCAACTGAAGATACCTGCAACCTAAGATTCGAACTCAGTGCTCATTACTTTAAACTTTTAAAAAAGTTCAGAAAATTATCAAGTTGTCCAACGAAAAAAAATATTTTATCGTTAAAGGGTTTAAAAATTGAATGTTGATACGTTCAGAAATTTTATTCCGAATATTCGGTCAGTATTTAATTTTATTTATTCTAGTAATCGGACTATGATTAAAACAGATTCATCATGTCACATTTTTAAATGTCTCATTATTTTTTCATAATAGAATCTTTAGTGTATGAAATGATTATCATTAATTTTTTTTGTTTTTTGGTTATTAACTTTTACTCACAAATCTGAATGGAAACTTTTCTGGAAAATATCAGATGGGTTTTGTGGAGATTGTAGTAATTTCAATGGTTAAGATCATGAGTCATTTGAAGCTAGACCACCTATCGCTGGACTCCTCAGCAGTGCGCATCCACAACCTCGTCCAGTGCGAGATTCGAACCCAGGACCTACTGGTTTCTCGCGCGAGCACTTAACCACTAGACCACTAAGCCGGCATCCAGCGGTGTTAATGTCTAACTTCAACTAATCCACGAAATTGAGCGACACATTCACTATTGTCTTCAGTGAGTTACTATCTCACAACAGACCTGGATGAACTCCACTGGTCACTACTTCTCACTAGAACTCCAGGATATACCTTGTGAAGCCAGTCACTAGTGAGCATATGTTGATTAATATCAGATGGGTTTTGTGGAGATTGTAATGAAAAACTGAAGAGATAAATTACATAACACATAAGATTAATATCAGTATAAATAATCAGAAATTTATTATTGTGATGTAGTTTATTTTTCTAGATAATTTTCTTTATACTTAACACAAACAGTAACATTTCGGTTAGCAAATTGTACAAAGTTACATATGATAGATTCATGCACTTCGCATATTATACTACCACTAGAAATAGACATATGTCTAAAATTAAGGGATTAGAGAAAATTATTAACAGTGTAATATTCGTCTTTAACTGTGATTGGTATCAGCTAAAGACTACTGAAATCCAGGGACTTCTAATCAATTCTTCTGTCAACAACAACAAACACAAACGACTTAGCTATAAATCAAAATCCAGACCAAACTCAAAAAGGATTTTCGAGGTTGCAATATAAATGCTAAATGGTAGAAGCTCAGCATTGTCATGTATAAAAACACATATCGTTGATGGCATGACAGATCGTCAAGTACCATATCTCACATAAACCAAAGTTGTAAATGTGGATAGCAGATTTCCAAATTACTGCTTCGTTTTATTATTTTCGGAACAGGAGCATCAAATCCTGAGTTCGACCACCAATAGAGTTTTCAATTTATATGCATGAAGTGTTTCATGTCAAGACCAATTAACATTGTAATATTATCATCATTTTCAATACTTTTTTCATTGAATTTAGACCCCAATTAAAACTAGGTTAATAATATGTTATCTAAAGACAATTTTTCAGACGATCTTGTTTTAAAGGATGCCAAATGATAAAGGCCACTTGAATACATTGCTATGAAACCATTCTATTTATTGAACTTTTTCGTATTTTATAGTTCCTATAATTATGTTGATAAAGTAAACGGGTCCACATAATACAATTTCTGAGTTTCGACTACATTTCTGTTCATAACTACTGAAATTGAATTACCAAAGTGTTTTCTAGTTTATTTCAGTCAGTTATCGTTTTCGCTAAATTAATTTGAGTTTTCATAGACATTTTTTTAGTGATTGATGTAAATGAAATTGCAGGAATTTGACCTCTTATAATTAAGTCATCTGTAGAAAAACTTTTCAGTGGTTAGGGTAAATGTAGGGGCTCATCATGGATAACATGTCTTGTCAGTCATCTCAGTGATTGCGTCTCTGGCTGTGGGGATATTTTGATATAGATTTGAATTCCTGAGGTAGAATTTGTTCTTTCAAAATTACAGGTACTCCTTGATGACAAATGCCAACTAGCAGGAAACCCAGGTCAAGCAGAGTTTCCTTTTGATTACCTCCAAACACTTAAGATAAAATATGTTAATGTGAATCTTTCTGAACAACCAGTTTACTTATCAAATTTTAATATCAAGTTTGTATTATAGTAATCAAAACTTCCAAACTTGCTCAATCTCAAAGTTTTGCTGGTATGTGTAACTTTTCGAAAAAAACGTAGATTACGTCGTAGAAATAAATAAACAACTATTTCGGATGGTATATATAATTACATTTTCGTCTGGCTCATAATTTACTGGTGATAAACTCTTAATGAAGAATCCCAAAACAGAATGAACTGAGCAGACTAATGCTTGTAGTTGTCTAATTTCCAAAGATGATTGAAGCAATAAATTTCTCCGTACCATCGAATGTTTCTGATTTAATGTTTTATTAACCTTCTCTTTAGTAGTGCTAAGGTGTAACATTATTTTATATAATACAATACCACGTTAAAGTATAGATTATTGATATTATGAACCAACTTAAGTCAGACATTCACTGAAAACAAGAATGTCTAACTTAAGATATTCCATGATATCATTCACATAAAATAATATCCACGAACCATCATAGCGAATTATATATTTTGATACTATATTTGTGTTCATATTAACACATACTCTTCTTCGAATTCATGAACCGACGGAAGTTAGACAATCATTGAAAATCTGGATGGCTTTTCCTCCTATTGTGGGCTTCCTCATCAGCGAAGATCCTTGAGCCCGCAAGGAGCCCTTGGTTTGATACCCTGTTATGCAATCACAGAATTCGATACTAGGGTGCTTCCACGTTTTTCATAAAAGTTTTAAGTTTGATTGGTTTTCTATTTCAGTGAAATTCAACAACCGCCACAACCCTATGCCGATATATATGTTCCTATTTGTTTCTTCCACTTTATTCACTTATAGGAATTTATTACGATAAAATTCTGTGCTATTTTGGCCTTTATCGCGATGATTATAGCAGCCGCAGCTGGTGGAGGTTCTTCAGCTTCGATAGCCTCAGCAGTAAGTTGATTTTCAAAATAAATTCTTAATTCCTACTATTTTTATTCAAACCGACATTTTTGTTGAAATCATGAACTGCTCAGTTTTAGACCACCAGTGAAAACCTGGAAGCACGGGCTGTCTATTTCGTCCTAGTATTAGACTCCTCAACAGTGCATATCCACGATCCCACACTCGAGACTCAAACCCAGTACCTTTGGTCTCACGGGAACACTTAACGTCTAAACCGCTGAACTGCCATCCAACGATGTTATTGTCTAAATCGAACCAATCCATGACGTCGCGCGACCATCTTCTATTGTTTACAGTGGCTAACTGCCCCACACTCGATACGGTTGAACTCCATTGGTCACAAATTTTCACTAGGACCCCGAGAATTCCCTCTCACAACTAGTCACTAGTGAGGTTTTCAATGGTAGTTTAACATTGACGGCTTCATGATTTCAATCAATGAATATGAATATTTAACTGTCAAAAATTCCACTAATCTTATTTGTATTGCCTCTTAAAAAATATCACTGTTTAACTAGTTCAACTTAATTCCTATCTGTTTCAATAATTTAGTTGTAATCTCTCTTATGTATTTAATATTTACTAAGATAATCCGATGATTGTTCTTCATACACTTTATTTTATGCTAAGTATTGACTTTGGTATATATATTTTAAAATAAACTGTAGGTTTATGCTATTAACTTTGTATAGAATTACATAGTAGTCTTCACAACTGAATACTATCCAGCTCAGAGAATACAAATTTAATAAAATGGAAGAAATTTCATTGGTGAATTAATGCTTTTAAGAGTATAAATAGAAAATTTATTAATATAAACAGGAAATTGTTTATTTCTTCCATTCCTTCTTTGTTGAATAACTCGCTTTATAATAAAATAAATTAGTGGAAGGTACTTTTTAAGGTTAAATAAATCAATGAGTTTCAGGAGATACTTTTTTTCATCATTTCAAGTCTTCTACTCATTGTTGAACAAATACTACATGTGAATCACATGTGGAGAAATTCGAACACTTCAATTCTACTTGAAGGTTGTGCTGATGATGTCGTTCAGAAGAACGATGAAAGCTCCACGACTAAACCATCCAGCTCGGAGAACAAAACTCCATCAAAATAAAAAATTGTGGTAAGTTTCGGATTTGAACTACAAAAATTCAGAAACCTTAGATTAATAATAATCATCTGCTCATTGTGATTAGTTTCGAAATGCGATTCCTAAAGTTTTAGAAAGGAGACATGATCTGTGTAGTACAACTATTTTGAATGTGGGACAGTTATTTATCTCATGTAATGAAAAATAGTCGAGCAATGTCTTAAACTGATTTAGAAATGTACACTATTGGATCGAAGCCTATTGGTCTGGAATTTAAACAGTCACATTGAGACATAAGGTCCTACGTTCGAAAACAAGTCTGGTCTGTTATATAAATTATAAAATATTTAGAAAAAATTTACAAAGTATAGTGTCCATCAATTTGAATAGCTTAACTCCTGCAATAATTTTCACCATACATTGTTATTTTATTCTTAGCTGTTAAAAGTAGATTCGATGAAGCATGTTTTTTTCCCACTTGGGATTCGTCGGTAGGTTGCACTTGCACTCCAATGTTTATGTCTACGACGAAATGTACTATGTTTTAGTCTCCATGTGAACAGCAACATTACAGTGTAGTTACACCAAGCTAATGAGTAGGCCTAAATAGGACGCAAGTATACTTATGGATTCTATTCCAAGTCATTATTCAAAACTATAATTAACTTTTAAGTGCATATACGATTTATGACCGCAGACTTTGGATAACATGCCCCAGAATCACTCATGATGGCACAGATGTATTCACTCTTGATTTTTCTCCATATCTTCTGTGTTAGTGTTTCTTCATACCTTTACACACTACCTTTTTGAATAATATTCTCAATGCTTAGTCTTTCTCATTCTCCTTGCTACTACATTACTTCGACCTATTTAGCTATACTGATTGTTAATTTTATTTCGTCAATCTAATATGCTAATAAAATATTGAACCAACGAATATTTGTTCTAGGCTCTACTCTAATAATAACTGACTGAATGTATGTGCAACATCAAAACGTCCAGTCAACAAATCCTATATACTGACAAGGATAGATGAAATACGGTTTTCAGTAATACAAATTCCTACAAATGATAATCGTTAATTTTCATTCTATTAGTAATAAATAAATATCTACCCACTTTTGTGAACAATCAGTGAAATAGTCTCCTTTTTATTATTAATCTTCTGACATCATTTATACAATAGTAATTATTAATGATATCTAAGTGTGCAGACTTTTTTATGAATATTCAGATTGTAACTATATAAATTCTTGCAAATAAATTTATACATGTTTTCTCAATCTTTCTTTTATATGTCACCTCCTCTGAATTAGCTACTTTTATGAATCCGGTGTCCATCTTGTTGTGTTAATGAGGTATGACAACTTGGACCGATGCATATATGTGCCTGGTCCTACGTTGTAGCTGACTGACTGACTGAAATATTTAAAAAGTATTTACATATCTGCTGCTTTTTTTCTAAGTACACTTCAAAACTATCGATTGTTGAATTAATCTACAGGGATAAAAACTGAAATGACATGCTGATTTTACGAGGTACCTAAGAATGATTTAGGTATAAAAAATTCTTAATTATAGAATTAGATAATTGTTTGTTTGTACTATTTCATTGACTTCACATCAATGGTATGATAAAAACTCATGAAGATACTTTTTGAAATGTAAGTCATACTTAATCTTGCTTGATTGTAACAGTTATCATGTTTTCTCGTCCTTTAATATATTGATCTAATTCTATCGATCAAGTGGTAATTTCGTGTTTCTTTTAACAAGTTGTAAAATAAACATTGTATTTCTCTGTATTGGATGTTAGCTAGTTGAAGGTAATGGGCAAAACATCGTGTATCATAGTTTTGTGCTAGTAAGCATTCATTAGCAGTAAACAATTTTTAGGAAAGTTTTACTATTTTTGAGATATAAAACTCTGTCACTTAGTGTCACAATGCGAGAATTAAACAGTAGCCTATTGGGAATTTAACTAGCCTTCAATGGAATTTCTGTATTTACACTTAACTGACCACTGGATAGTAACATGTTAACATATTTGAGGAGTGTAGTTTCCAATCAACCACAGGGAGCATCAGTTATATTAGATTTTTTGATAATACTATCTAATGACTGTCAATTAGCATGAAAACTTCATCTGATTATTTCCTGATAACCATTTTCAATTAACTAACATCAAAAATGTAAACATAAATGAAACACTTTCTTACATATAATTATACATTTGATTAGGTGATACTACTTTCGAATTTTCGTTTTTAGGCCGGTTATTAAATTTAATCACATAAAAATGATTATATATACATGATTGAAAGTAATATTAGATCCAAACTGTACATGTTTGTTTCAATGTAATGTTCCTGTATAGTTTTGTGTAAAACTACTCAAACTTTCTATTTTAAAGAAAAACACCATATCTATCTGTAAATCTTCGGTGATAACAATGACAAGTTATATTTTAAATTGTTGGAATCTTTAGCAAGAGGGTTTAGACCTATCCAGTTTGCTAACATCGACTTCAAGAATTGGTGAACATTAAAAGTGTTGAACATAATGTGATGATTCAATAGTCCAAAGATATAACGTTCACTAAATATAGAAAGTTTTGAGTACCACTAAAAATGGATTTATTTGTTAGGTTTATTTGTTTTTGTAATGATTCTACATTGGATGTTAATTTGGCAATGATAAAGAAAAAATTAAATCAATAATCTGGATTTAATTTTGTGCAAACTCTATATATGTAACTAATATATGATATGTGGCTAATGGTGGGATTAAGGATACATGTTTTATACTGTTTTGGAACGATCAGTTAAGTGTACTTGCGATATCTCTGTGTTGAGGTTCAGATTAAAATTTACATTGTCCGCAGATATGATTTAATTTATTAGAAAAGACATTTTCCTCTACATTTTTTCTAGATAATAAACTATACGTTAGATGATCAACAGTAGTCAACAAGAAACTAGGATTCTAGGTTTCGTGAGAGTTGGTACTCATCATCAAGGCGTATCTGGAATCGTGTTTGAAGTGAGTTATTAAGAGAACAACCGATCTACTGTAGGAATGAAATATCTTACAAATTATTGATCACTGATAAATGACCAATTTCACTTTAGTTAGTCCTTTAGTATCGACCAAATTGTGTTGATTCAGTCCCAATGTAGATACTAGTCCAAGTGACATGAATAGCTCAGTGGTACCGTCTAAGATTGTGAAGTTGGTTTGAATCGCACAGAAAATATTAATAATTTTTGGATTATATATCCGCCTTGCTGATGAGTCCTAACTAGCACTAAACTTAGGTTAAGCATAACATCCCGCCTACTACTTTAAAACTCGAACATTTCAACATGGTTCACACGATGCTGAGTCACTTAGACACTAAGAGACACTAACAGAATTTGAACATCACTAAGGATTGCACAGGCACTACACCAAAAAGAGTTAAGTATCTTGACAATTATCTATTTATTTAAATCATTAATAAAACTTGAATCAACTACTTTGAAAAATAACATTACGTCAGCTTCATAAAATGAATATGAAATTTTTGAAGAAAATAGCCGTCATATGCATATAGTTCTTTATATAGATGATTAACTGATCACATGTATCATCATTCTTATTAATATGATCAACAAATTTAATTTGTTAATAATGTCAGCTTAGAAATGTAAGTTTACAATGAAAGTATCATTGATGTAATTTGAGTAATAAAACACCTGAATACTGATTGATAGTCTTTTTATAGACATTTAATAGTTTCGTGGATAAACAAAAAATATATAATTTATAAATTATTTCACTAAGGCAGATTATCATTTTCAATATACGATTAAAGACTCATAAAAGTGATGAGTTATTGAAATTAACATCATGAAATTGCTGTAAAGTGGTTGGTTGTGAGATAGTCAGTAATCCAACAATCTTTAGTGTTATCAGTATAGAGTTGTGGAGATTAGTAAGTTTTTGATTAAGATTAATGTTAGATCACCAGTGAAAACCTGGAAGCACTGAACGGCCGTTTCGTTCTATTGTGGGAATCCTTAGCAATGTGCATCCACGATTCCACCCGCGAAATTTGAATCCAGGACCTTCGATCTTGCGTGCGATCGCTTAATCTTAAGACCACTGAGCCGGCGCATCCAATGTCGTTAATGTTTAACTTCAACCAATCTTTTATGCTAATTAACACTCATCAGTAAAATTTATTTTTTGAACTTGTCACCTAGAAACACATTCACCATTGTTCCAGGTAGAATTCATTTGGAAATATTTAAAATATCTGAAGTACCATTAGTTTCCCCAACATTGTAGATAAAATTTACTGTAATAATTAACAAATCAGGTGAAATGGCAGAGTTCAAGACCGTCTTGGATGAAGAGATGGGTAAAGTATAAACCTCAAGATCCTGTAGAAATACACGTAAAAATAACCGGAAACAAGATGCTTTGATTATATTTTAGGGGAACGCAAAATTTTACAGCAATATCTTACAAAATGTTTTGTTAAAGAAGTTGTATACAGGCTTATTATGTTTTCCACTGGCTGGTTAATATTTCAATTTGTCGGTTAATTGTATTCTCATTGTCTTTGTTCAAAGTGTTGACCTGGCGTGGAATTAAGTTGGAAGGTCAAAATAAAATTTGGCAGTAGTCTATCAAGCTACTGACTGGTGGTTTGAGCGCCATTGGTAGATTTAGACTGCCTAATCTGGGTTGACGCGATTACCGTAACCAATAGTTTAATACATTAGGTAACATGGCTCACAATCAGTCACAACGATACAGCTGCATTTGCTCGTTGTTAAAGTTCCTTAATATACACTTTTTTATTGTTTTCGCAAACCATATTCTCAATATTTTAGTCTCCTCGTTATCACTGTTAAGATAACCATTTCAGCTCCTCTGCTAATCATCTTTTTAACTTCATCTCGTTATATTGATGTGGTACGCCAAATTGAACTATCACGTATTCGAATAGGCTACTACATTGATTATGACTGACCAACTATCACATTGATATTAAGTAATACAGTGGCATGGCTAAACTTTTAAACTAAATTTTCCTTTGGTTTTATGTCATTTTACCTCCTATGCTAGTCAGTTTGCAATAAATTTAAAATAAACCCGAATAATTCGTGCACATGGGGTATGTTCTTAAATACGTAATTAGTCAAATGGCAATCATAAGTGGATGATCACTCCAGTTATTTTCAAAATCATCTACTAGGTGAAACTCTAAGAACATTTTTTCACACTTCTATGTTGCATTCCATTCGAACGAATCAGACATCTTAACGATCAACTTTTATTTTTTATATGAAGTACAATTTTTCTAATCAAAAGTATTCCTCGTTTCGTTAATGAATGATTTATGTTAGTATCTTAATTTTAAAATATTTTCATACTTTGAATGTGCAAACTGTCTGATACAGTATCTGGGTTTAAATTGCCTTATCATAAGACAATTTGTTCAGTTCTCATTAGTTCAGTACTTTATTATATAAACTGGCAACGAAACTAGAAAATCTATCAATCGAAGTCATAAATGTAAACTGAGTCAATGATCCGAAGGTTAAGTCTTCAATGCGAGATTTGAAGGTCCTAAGGTTTGATTCTCAGTGGGTTGTGTGGTTCTCATGAAGAGCCCTATGAAGAAACAGCTATTGAACTTTTCCTCATTTTCAGTGGTTGTCTAACAAATTCACTCACTAATGAAACTCAACAATCTCCATAAACCCATTTATCAACATTATTAATTGACTAAATATAATAAAAACAGAAAATTTGCACAAGCTATTAATAAAATGATACCATATCACTAACATTTTATTATCACCCCATATATTAATCAATTAATCTAACAAATTTCATCTGTGCACACTATGATCCTAAGACTACCATATCTACAAATTTGTTATTGAAATTAGAATAATTTAAGTGTATCTAATTATTTCATCGGTCAAATGGAGATAATAACTATTTCATTAGTTCTTATCCAGACACTTAGTAAGAAAGAAAAGCAATCAGAGTTAGTAAATATTTCTTTTCAACCAGATGTTCATCATGGGTCTACACTAATATGTATATGTTTACTAAATTTGTCGATAAACACTTGATCCAATTAAAAATTATAACGACCGTTCAGAAGGTACTAATCTTAAAGTTACAAGTCATAAATCCCGCTGTCAGTGAAATACTAACACAAAGACCAAGAAAAGCTGTACAGTAAACATTTGCTTCAGACAAACTAAATGTGGGCTTTTTACAATGATTCAATACTAAGAACCATTAATAAAGACAGACAACGTGAATTTTTCAAATTCAATTTCTTTTACGGATCCATCTTCATGAGGTGTTTAATCCTATGAGTCTATCATAGTATTTGAAATTAGTTTTCATCACGTAACTAATTAAAGTATATTTGTGTTTGATGAAATTTTAGAAGTTGCTTCTGATTTACTACAAATATATAAATCGTACATTCATATTTCCTTTAATAAATGCATTCACTGCCAACGCTTTTTTTAAACCCATAGATTTTATTTGCAGTCAGCTTCGTATTTTACGGCATTGATACATTTATCTTATTTTCATATTATCGATTGAACGGTGGTTACGTGAATGACCCTAAAATTAAACAACGTCCTAACATACCGCCGAAAGTTAACCAGACGTCAGAAGCCATAGCAGCGCCTGAATACCCAAATGATGGTTTCGAAAAAGAATGAAAATGGTTTCCAAAGCCATTAACATTCCAATCTTTACGGTAAGTTACACTCCATTTTGGTGAGGAGGGTGGGTAGAACGTAATACATTATTAAAACTTAGTTTCTTTAACTATTCCCTACATACATGTACAAAAGAACCCACTTGCAAACAGAGGAATTTTCTGAGAATCGAAATAGCTGAAGTACATTTCCCAAGTTGATTTCATAACATTTAGCCAGTTCTCTGAGTCAATGAATGATATTAAACAAAAAGTTAGTTGATGTTCAGATCATTTTAATTTGGTCAGTTAGACTAACTTACCTATGTGAGTAATATAAAATCATTTAAGTCAAACAAATAGGTTGAGTTTCAAATCTGTTCCATTTCAGAATAATAAGTACAGACTAGATACAGTATTCGAAAATGTAAGGACATTGACTACCTTCATAGAAGAACAATACCAATAAGCTAAAAACGGATGTGTTTCTGGAGTTAAGTAAAACAAACTACAGTCCGATAAAACTCGTTACTTTAACTGTTGTCAACTCATCTAGACCAAATCTATAGGTAGGATGTCAGTGTTCCTCGTGAATTATCAGGGGAATATGGTACATGTAAGTCTCCTTAAGAATTACTAAATAATGGAAATAGACGTAGCTCATGGTAAAAACACAACCCAGGAAGTGATTTCATTTCTACAAAATATCATAGACTTATTCGCATCAACGATCTATGTAGATTAACTTCACTTTTCAATTATACGAATATCCAATTATACGAACTACGCAAAAAATAATAATCTAAATTACTAAGGCCAACTTAAAACTCCGTTGCACAGGTTGAGTAAAAACGGAATGATAATGAGAAGTACTATTTTTAACAGTTCGATACGGAAAGTCAACTTGGAGAGTCATTCAGTCATCCACAACGAACGACCAGGCACATATATGCATCGGTCCGAGTTGCCACACCTCATTGTCGCAATAAGATTATCACCAAATTCATAGAAGCAGTTACTTCAGTGGTAGTAATATATAAAAGAAAGATTGTATATAAGGATATGATAAAGAGAGGAAGAATTAGTTCGTAGAAAGAAAGGTATGAGCAATTCTAATCTCACTGTTTAATGGAAGACAAAGAGTGCATACACCGACGCTTTTGTGATCGATTCTGAGCCGTCACCCAGGGTCTCCAACCACCAGTTACGCGATAGTCGCGTGGACCCCAACAAAGTAGTCTGCATCTACCAATGACTCAGGCCAGAATTTAGTGACTTTACGAACTGATGCCAAGTTTTGGTTTGGCCCCCCTTAACTTTCTTCCATTAGTCTCCAATACAAATCAGCATTGTGTGCCGTGGTAATTAGTGGTTGGACATACTTACTCAGTAATCTGAGCAGATGTGAGCAATATTTCTAAAACGTGTGTGATCAAGTACTAGCAACTTACAGATATCCTCTACTTTTAATGACCACGTTTCGCAGCCGTAACAGAACGAGCTGCTGCGCAGTATATGCGTCCTATAATCGATAGACGGACATCTTGCCTCCGCCATAGGTGATGCAAGTTGGAAAAAGTCAAACGAGCCTTTTAAATCCGTGCAGAGATTTCATCAAACACCAACCCATTAGGGCTAATCATACTTCCAAGATAAGTGAAGTTGTCAAAGCGTTCGACTAATTCACTCCCTATCCTTAGTTCGGCTGTTGACGCAGGCCAGTCCTCAAGCAACAATTCGCATTTAGAGAGGAAGAAACGCATTCCAAATATTATGGCATTGTTGATCATTGCTGCCAAAAGACTGCATTTTATCAGTGTCTTCACCAAATAGGACTATGCCATCTACGTATTGTAAGTCATTAAGTGGGTCTTCCGGGATGTGATCAATTCCCGAAAATCCAGACGACGAGAATGTTATTACCAGCAGGGCGGGTGAAAATTTGCAACAAAATTGTGGAACTCAGTAGGTTTGTATGTTAAAATGACCCCAGAAAATAATTAAAACTAACTGTCCGAGAATAGTAGGGCATCATGTCCTATTAAAAATAAATGATTGTAGTGGGTTTAGAAAACGTGAAACCCCATTTATAACTTTGATTTCTTAACTACTGAGTTGGATTTCTACACATTTTTGTGTAAACAAGTCAAGACATGGAATCAGTGACCAATCATACTCATGTGAGTGGGTAGTTACCGAGTTGTCAGGTTAGGTACACCTTTCCCTGATGAGAAATGTTTTTTTCTTTTCAGAGATATCGACTCGGGACTCTATCGCCTACAGATTAAATGTACATGACAGTAGACAATATCCAGAAATCCATTTTATCTGAAACAAATATTTTTCTTTTCTATTCAAAATACATTAGGATGACATATTTTCTTACAAACATCGTGATCTTTTCTTTTCTATAATGATCTGAAGTGAGGATTTTTCTTTTTCATAGTCTACATTAAGCAATTGTTGTCGTTTTTTGTCTACAACTTATGTTGTGTACTTTGATATATGCATTTTGTGTTCATTTTCTCATAATCAGGTCAGTCATATTTACATCTTATTTAGTTATATCACTTACCACGTTTGGAACTTGTTTTCTGAATAAAAACGTAACTTTGTATCTCATGTGATTCAGATTAACTATAATCAACTATGAAACTAATAACTCGACTATACTCTTCTTCTTCTTGTATGTATAGAACTGAGAGCCATATTGTTAAAAGGTTACTTATGCTGGTTAGCTTCTTAGCAAGGCTTTCTACGGGATAGGGTTGCTGGCCCCATACCCAGCCCTCCTCCTTTATCCAGGCTTGGGGTCAGCGGTAACCCTAGAAGAGCTACAGGCGGAGTCATCGCTAAACGTAGTTGGCAATAAATTTTGAACTTAGATTTCATATTGGCTAACCTTCATCATCAAGTTATACCTGGAATCTTGGAGACAGATGCTTCCTGTGTGGTTTGAATATACATCACTCGGCTTACCAGTCTAATTATCTATTGTTCAGCTAACCGACCCCCTGCAGGACTGATATTTTTACAGTTGACTGACCGCTAATCATACATCGAGTCAGTGAGACTAGCGGTCACGGTGCAACTTGTAACCACCACTTGGTAACCTCTATTCCCACTCCAACTCATGATGATATACATCTCACATTTAGTTTACCATATAATACCTCGGCTAACACTATTGTGCGACGGTTGTGCTCAAAATCCAGATAAAAAATGTATCTGGAACAATAGGTACAATATAAGAGGCAAGCATATAATGACACATCCAAGGGCCCCATAAGTGTTCTTTGTTTCAGTTCACATAAGGGCTTGCGTTGATCTGTCACGCCGATTCATGAGATGAATATAATTTTAAACAAGTTTTCATATTACGTTTCAAACTTGATCACTAGGATCTAATTATCACTAAAAGACTAAACAAACATGACATTGGTCACTACTCAGTGACCAGACAATTGAGTGTTCGAATGAGCTAATTTTGCATGATATCTAAGTAGAAACAAATTGACAGGCTAAAGATTAAGAAGCCACAGATAATTTTTTTAGTAAATAAACATCGCATATAGTGAAAACAAACAGACATTGCCATTACTATTCAGTGTGAACTGTTTTTTTCAACTAGCACATTTCTAAACACAGTAGTGAAGAATAAATTTACTTTTTTTATTGGTAGTGTAAGCATAACTACGAATATTTGAAATTATCAATTTAATTAAAGACTCTGGATTTTTGATGCTGACCTAGCTACCTAATCTAATTCTATTCACTTATTATTCTAAGACAAGTAATTATCATGTTCATTGGATTAGATGAAAATAAGCACATAATTATCACCAAGAGCCACAAACCATTGAAACGTTTTTTTCAAGGAGTGTTAATAATCTGTTGGGGTTTTCCCCTTGTAGGTTCAAATCCCATCACCGTTGCTAGTTGATACAACCGCAGAAAACTGGTACTTGAGACAAGGAGAAACACTAAGATGTGTTAACAATACGAGAAAGGAGATAAAGATTGAATTATAACAAATGAGTATTTTGTTTAAAAGAATCCCTCACTAACCAAATATATACATTTATCAACATATTTTACTGACATCTGACAAATCATCAACAAAAATCAATATTGAAACAGTAGGAATAAAAAGTGGAATTATGCAAACAGACAAGCTTTGCAAATGTTACAGTAAACTAATGCAAAAGAATGCTAAGTATCATACTGAAAGAATATCATACTAAATTAGTACAAAAGAATGTTATTCTGTACAAATACCATTGAATTACAGTATTATATCGAGTTTTATCCAATCCTAACAAGAAAAACACACGATCCATCTATATTAATATCATGATTTTGTGAACAAGTAGCCTTGAATAACAAAAGTATTATTCCGCAAGTCCGATGATCAAAGCTAATTCGTACAATCTAAAACAAGAAAAAAACGAAACAAAATAGCTGATACAATATTATGATCGTGAAATCGAAGGAATTAATTATAATGTTAAATTAGAAGACCAATACAAAAATTCTAGTGAAACTTCTTTTCGAGGGTCCTAACAAAGGAACTAGATAAGGATTGGTCATGACGTGATGGCGTATCCGTGGTGTCCAAGATACGATTGCTCAAGGCCAACTCCACATAGCTTTTTACCGAGTTCTTGATGCACTAGCCCTGTATCCTAAAGGTCTTACCACTGGCAGCTGAAAGCCATCGGCAAGATGAAGCGTAGGTTTTCAAGGTTGATCACTTCTAACCCCTTCCTTCCGTTGTCAAGAAGTACTATCGCCGATTGTTTGAGGGAAATACCTTGCTACTGTCGCGCCTTAGTATACACAGCAGTACGATTCCGTATTTGAAACTTTATTTTCTACTTACAGTGATGTTCTTAGACCGACCTGTTTGTCATGTTAAGAACTAAAGCAATATGTGTTACAGTCAACACGATAGACAAGTCCGACCACCATGTCAACGTAGAAGCTACAGTCAGGTTCAAGTAACTAAGACTCATAAAATTGCACTATCCAACACACTGACATTCCATACATTCTGACCTTTGGGTAAATTTAAATCGAGAATAAGATTAAAAATAAAATCGTCCTATAGAATACCATATGTGGCTGATGAGAAACTTTGAAATATAATGAAGTCACTGATGGGAATTTTTATGTATGACGGTAAGCAACAGAATTTCAAATCTAAAACAGAATATTTTTTACCCAAATATGACAAGTTCATTGTTGATATGAGTGTTAACAACCATTAAATGTACGTTCATGGTTACCTTGTGGACTCATTCTAACTCAAACAACTGACGATGGAAGATGAAAGTAATTTTTTATCACGCCGTTACTAAATTCATTTAACAAAACACATTACAGTGCTTTGTATAAAATGTCCAAACTGTATACAACTGAAGTATAGTAATAGACTAATCACGTTGCCACCAAATGTTCTACCAATTACTGCGATGAATTGTTGTTTAATTATAACAGTAATGACAATACAGTTTCAATAAGAGCGACTTGATAGTTGATCTTGAAAAAGCCTAAATAGTTGGGAGTAAGCTAAATTACAGACTATTTCTGCTTCCTTACTATTGACAGTTACCGCACCAGTAGTTGTCTTTTAACAAGATACCATGTATCATCAGGACGCGAATCGCTACTATTGTTTGATAGCAACCTATTACATTTGACTTGATTTCCCTACCTTCAAACTTATCAGCAATGTATACATATTACGTTGTGAACAGCTCTGAAAACTTAAACATCGCGTAGTAGCCTCCAACCAGCTTCTTCTGTTTTGAATCCCGCTACACTTAGGTTTGGACGGCTTACTGGTACCATTAACCCTTACGCAGAAAGTGACTTGAAGCCGGATTAAAATCCCTGAATTTGGTAAACGGGTTATATTGGCAAAAATTAAGTAGACATTAACCTCGCAGTGATAGTACTCAGTTGATTTAAGACATTAAAAATTAACAAATACGCACTCATAGCCGTACAAAAAATGTACAAACAACGTACCATGCGAACGATGACTTTATGCATAAATATCCACGTACTAACTCACAATATATTCAATAACCACCAAGATATTTTTGACAACTGCATGCTTTTGAAATGATTTGAGACACTTCGATTTCTTCTAAATGAACTATACTTATACTCCAGGCATGTATACTCGACAGGAGTCCGAGCTGCATAAACAAAGCGTGTTGGATAATCGTATTTTGTCGCTGGGCACAGACTGAGCATAATCATATGACAGTTGTGTACCTTCAAAGATAACTTTGTTAGCAAATAATGCTAAATAGGGAATGAAACTATCAACTCGAACAGGAACTACTGTTAGATTAGGTGTACAAGAATGGTTAATTAGGCGTGCTTTCGACTTCACTGAACCCCACGATTCGGAATTCCCGTCAACACATGTCTCTGACACAAGATGATGGTCACTATACTCACGCATTATCATGATAAAATTGCGACCATAACATGCAAGCTGAAGGGCTTCTCTTAGGCAAGCTTCTTTATATGGAATTACTTCACCCAAATAAACACAAACGAGTTCCCCACGTTGGATTTCACAAGCTGCTTTTAAACCTCTACCCATAACCGGATGATTAGTTACATAAGTTTTCGTATGGTACTCAGACTCAAATGTAAACTCAGCATCGTTTAAATATCTTTGGACGACTCGATTAGTGCATGATTGACTACAAACACATTCACTGTTGCATTCAAAAATTGGATTCATAAAATTAGTCAGTAAACCATTCATATCATATGACATTCCAGATTTCGATAAACAAGTGCAATTGTCTTCTAGGCGGCAGATATTTTCACATTTACATCCAATAAGTTGCTCTGTTATTAGATCGATAGGGATGTCCTCATGGTATAATAACTCCATGTATCCGACAAAACCTGCAAATAGAAAATCGGTTAGAAAACAGAACAAACATGGATCTGGAAGTTGGCCTTATGTCTAACATACTATTCGACCTCACAAGTACACTTGCTTCACATACATGTTTGTTTGACCACTCGTTATGTGTGTTAAACTTGAGTTGGGATTAGGATATCGGGTAGAGCAGATTGCTTTGTACTCTTACTGATGAATACTGTGATTTAACTATTGAAGGCTTTTTGGTTAATTCTACAGATATACAAATCATGCCACATGGTTACATACGCATCGATCCTACTTGCTTTCTATTTTCCCATTCTCATTTTAAAAGTAGAAACTTCACTGAATCTTTCAATTTTGTCATTCTTGCAAATAATGAGAACTTTAATAACTAAATAAAGGTAGGTTTTAACCCACTTCTTGCCTAGTGAGTAATTGGTGTGCAATTCGATCACGAGGATGTTTGGAATTTCGTGAAAAAACTGAAGCATTTATCTAATTGAACACAAATACCAGTACACAGAGAAATAAAATACATATGCGCCACAAAGATCACTTCATTTGTGTGTGAACTGTGAGACTGTTAGGGTAACCAAACCGAAGCAGGTGACCTTAAGGGGTCACACCAGAAGCCTTTGACCTAAAGATTTGATCCACAAGGCAGTAGAGCAACTTCAAGAGACGCAGCCCCATGATAGCCAGTGACCAATGGTTAGTTCATACGCCATTTGTTTGGAAACAGGGTTTACAAACACAACTAGTTGAATCCTTCGTATCAACCAACCCGGTTCAAGTGCCAGGCTTGGTAAAACCCTGGAATAGGATGGATTGAAACTGGGGACCACGGTATGTAGTAACGATTGCGAGTACTCCGTAATTTGATATCCACCGATCAAGGAATACGGCTTCAACTGTCTCTGCGGATGTGTCTGTGATAGGGCATGCTGTCGCTCATCTTGTAAACCTGTCCACTGCGGTAAGAGTATGCGTGAAAGAGTTTGATGGTGGCAGGGGACCAACTATGTCTAGATGAATATGTTGAAAGCGTTTATCAGGCAATGGAAACTTCCCAAGAGGACTAACTGTGTGTCTTTGAACTTTGCTGCGTTGGCATCGTAAACAATTTCTGGTCCATTGCTTTATATTTACGTTCATTTTTGGCCAAACAAATCTTTCCGCGTTCAGTCTCACAGTAGCACGGATTCCTGGATGAGATAATGAGTGGAGACAATCAAAACCTGTTTTTCTGTACACTATTGACAGAAATGTTCCGTGTGTTCCAGTCGAAGTACCACAAAATATAGTTGAGTCGGAATGTGGTATTGGGACACTTTAACACCAGACTCGGACTTTGCTTACAGGCAGCAAGATCAGAATCATCCGTCTGTAAACGTGCAATGTCTAATAAATCGATTCCGTTGGTGAAGCAAATTGCATCGACGTTGAAACATGGTATTGTATCTGCAACAACATTTGAGTTACCTTTTATAAACTGTGTATTGGTCGAAAATTGGGAAATATAATCTAGTTGCCGAATGTCTCTAGGTGAATTACAATCGATTTTAGCGTTAAAGGCGTAAGTTCAAGGTTTGTGATCAATGAGTATCACGAAATCTCTACCTTACAGTAAGTGTTTAAAATGTCTAACAACTAGATAAATGGCCAATAATTCTCTACCAAAAATACTATATCGAGTTTGAGTTGGTTTTAGCTTCTTTGAAAAGAAAGCAAGTAGTTTGACTCCATTATTTACTCGCTGTTGTAGTACCGCCCCTACTGCTGCCTGGGATGCGTCTGTAAACAGAATTAGTGTTGCTTCCGGGTCAGGACTTAGGTCAGCCTAGTAGTAGAAGCAATTCCTGTTTTAGCTGCAGGGAAGGCATCTTTCGCTTCGGAGGATAATGTGAACTTTTTAACTGCCTTTTAACATTTCCGTTAAAGGTTGTAGAATGGCTGAGCAGTGCGGAATAAACCGATGATGAAAATTAATCATTCCCAAGAAACGTCGGAGTTTATTCCATGAATCTGGTTCTGGGAAACTTTTGATGGTTGCAGTTTTTGTGTCTAACGGTTTGATTCCACGTTTGTCAATCGAGTGACCTAAGAACTCTTAACTCTCGACTCCAAAAATGCATTTGGATGGATTAATGACCATACCATATCTCTGAAATCTTTCGAATAGTTGATATTATTTATTCATTTATATGAACACATAGATACTGGTACAAGGGGGCACCAGATATATATGCGCCACAAAAAACAATGAGAATGGGAAGAGAAAAAGAATGTAAGGTGCGTATAAGAAAAAAAGAACAATAACGACCACAGATTAGTGTGTGGTAGTGTTATATTAATAATAATAATAATAGTGGGGGAAACGGAAGGGTACAACCAGAAGAATTCATTCAGTTAAGGAAGGTACAACTACATTTTATGAAAAAAGTAAAAGAAGCTTACAGCAGGATCGCCACTGGCTTCTATTCTGAGCCATATCTGATGTCTCTAGCCACTGTGTTGCACCATCTCTCGGAACCCAGCCAGGGAGCCGAGAAGGACAAACAGAAGCCAGCCCTTTGCAGCTTTCTTTCATAACACGACACCATATCATACACTGACCACATAGCTTTTCCAACCAGTCCCAGCGTCGGCAAATAGTGCACGACGTGGAATTCTCTGGGACGACATTCGTAGAACATATCCAAGCAACCGAAGTCGTGAAACAAACTGCTAGCTATTAATATTTCGTCAATATACACGAAAACAAAATTTAGACCTTTAGTGACCATCCATAAATCGTTGAAAAGTCTGTGCAGCATTCTTTAATCCAAATGACATTCTCAGAAATTCAAACAAACCAAATGGATTAATAATGGCTGTTTTTACTATATCCTCGGATGCTACTGGAATCTGATGGTACGCTCTCACAAGACCGATTTTAGAAAAAAGTTGTTTGCCGTGTAAGGTAAGCGAATGGGGTAACAATCAGGTAACGTCAAGTTATTCAATGACCGATAATCACCACAGGGTCGCCAACCCTGATCTCGCTTACGTACCATGTGGAGTGGGGATGCCCAGGGGCTACTTGACGGACGTATTATCCCAAGTTGTATCATGTGCTCAAATTCAGCTTCTACAACAGTAAGCTTGTCCGGTGGTAATCGGTGTGGACATGCCGAAACTGGTTGGCATTTTGTGATGATTCGATGTACTATGGAATGTTGGATGGTGTTTTCACCATAGTCCGGATTCGTTATCTTGGGAAATTTAGATAAAATATAGGCGAATATATCGTTTGCTGGAGTGTCTATTTTAATACTATGTATATGACAGTCCGACTGAATTCCAGGAACTTGAAGTTTTGTGCAAGAAACGACAAGTTTTCTTTTTTTAACATCAACTAGTAGGTTGTAGGAGCTTAGGAAGTCTGCACCTAATATAGGGTGACGGACATCAGCGATAATAAACACCCAGTTTAAACGTTTTATTACCAAATCTAATGTCAGGAGTTGTTCACTAAATGTCTTTACTTCAGTTTTATTAGCCGCTGTTAAAGTATATTTTCCACTTTTAGCAACAGGTCTTTTGGCTAAGGTAACTGTGAGACTGATCGCGGAAAGATTTGTTTGGCCAAAAATGAACGTAAATATAAAGCAATGGACCAGAAATTGTTTACGATGCCAACGCAGCAAAGTTCAAAGACACACAGTTAGTCCTCTTGGGAAGTTTCCATTGCCTGATAAACGCTTTCAACATATTCATCTAGACATAGTTGGTCCCCTGCCACCATCAAACTCTTTCACGCATACTCTTACCGCAGTGGACAGGTTTACAAGATGAGCGACAGCATGCCCTATCACAGACACATCCGCAGAGACAGTTGAAGCCGTATTCCTTGATCGGTGGATATCAAATTACGGAGTACTCGCAATCGTTACTACATACCGTGGTCCCCAGTTTCAATCCATCCTATTCCAGGATTTTATCAAACTTCTGGGATTGAAGTACATCAATACAACAGAGTACCATCCGGTAGATAATGATCTGGTCAAAAGAATGCACCGCCATTTAGAAAGCTCTCTGTTTGCACAAACTGATAAATCAAAATGGAGTGATGCACTACCACTCGTAATGCTGGGAATCCGTTTAACTTTTAAAGAAAATATAGGTTGCACATCCCCCGAAGTAGTTTACTGTAGAACTCTTACATTATCAGATCAACTAGTAGACCCAGACACAAAAATACCACCTGATCGAAATCGTTTTGTGATCCGTCTACTGCAAACGATGCAAAATATCAAAGCAATACCGCCGGGCGAATATAACAATCGCGTACAACTTGACAAACGCCTTGAAGTGTAAAATTGTCTTTTTTCGGATCGATGGCGTTAAAAAGCCATTGAAGCAATCTTAGGAATGACCGTACCAAGTAATTAAACGAAAAAACAAACGATTCATCATCAACAAGTGTGGGAAGGAGACAATCTCTATAAATAGTATAAAGCCAGACTACTACGAAGTTCAACAAGACAATGAGAATAGCACTACAGATAAACAACCGGTAAACATTTATTACAGACATCTACCGAACATACTTTCATTGGTGAAGCGTATGTTACCAGATGTCCTCGCACAGTACCACCATGTTTAGCTGCCGCCGTTTCCCTTCAAACCTCAAGCTTTCAAAGAAAAATACAACCCTTAGGAACCCGGATTCCCCATCTTGGCTGTATCAGAGAGATATTCGCGATATAGAAATACAGTCATTATATCATTATACCTAACAATGTGAGTTGATGATAAATAACAAATGTAAAGTGTAAAAATGACAATGCCTTTACACATAACACCTATATAAGTGAAGTGTACCAACCCAATCAAGTAAGAGGTCAGAAATGAAGAGATTCAAGCATATATTTGGAAGGCTATCAATATATCGAGAAGCGTTTGGTCTAAGCTGCAAGGGATGCTTAGCATGGTATACCCACTAGTGGTCTGGTGCTGATGCGTGACCAAGAGCCTCCAGCTAGATTTGTCCATCAAAACTAATGCGGTCACATTATCGTATTGCTATGTCTAATATGAAGAATTTCGTAGTTTAAAAAACCGCAGTTAGAAAGTTAGTATGTATTTACATGTATACTTTTCTGGGTTCTCAGATAAAGCCAAATCATTTTTGTAGTTCGGACGTGAAATATATCGCCTACACTCTCAGCGCTTTTACTATTCCGCGGATATTTAGGTTACATGTTGTGAGTGTGAATGAATCGGATCAACATATCTCCTCTTGTTCTTCTGAATTACACAGTTTCCAAGTTTAATGCACCTATGTATCCATTCCTTAACATAAGTTCCATTTCGTTGAGTAGATCTTGAAAGGCTTGTAACCTGTTGTTCAGAGTTATCACCAATTCATTGAGTTTTTCAGTATCTGGAAAGAAGGCTGTATTGAACATATGTCATGCTATTTACCTAGTTGTCCACTGCTTCTCTATTGGCCATAACCAGGTGGTGATTTGGACCTATGCCAACTCTTAGATTGGTTCTCACGTTTTTCACTGACATTGTGATTTTTTACTGAAGCGAAAATGTGGTCGACCTGGTTCTCCAGCATGTGATCCGGTGAGACCCATTTGTGTGGGAATATTGTTCCGGCGATAACCTAGTTGTTGAATGCACATAAGTTTGTAAATATCTCCACACTTTCCTTTCCCTCTACTAGTTCATGCCTTCCCATGATATCTTCTTAACCGTCATTATCCATTCCGACTTTTCCGTTTAGATCTTCCATCAAGGTGGTTAGTCCTTTTCCTGAGTATTTCTCTACGATCGATTGCAGCCTCTCGTAAAACTGATCATTGTCGTCGTTGTTGCTATCATTGATGGGTGTAGAACGATGAATGAGATTCACTGTGATTCCCTCCTACTTTATTTTGAATGATGCATTGACTATCCGGGGTCCATGAGATTCCAATCTCATAAGCTCATTTCGTGCTTCATTAACAGCAATATAGTAAATTTCTGAGTGTGTGGAGCCTGATCCTCTTGATGAACAGAGCTCAGAAGCATCTCTCCCGTATCTAACCTTCACTGTCCAGCTTGGTTTTTAATGTGTCTTGCTGATTCCGAGCACTATCACGTTGTATCACTCCATTTCTGTGGCTATTTGACTCGTTCCTCCGGTCTCCTACATCGACCGAACATTCAGTGTACCTATATTGATTGTTGCCCTGGTTGTTAAAAGGGGCTTTGGTTTTGTGACGTCCAAAGAATCTCGGCTATCATCATGAGGCGTCATAATTCTTCCATCAACTCGGAGGGTAGAGTTTGCTTACTCAAGTTAGCATTGTTTTAGCAAGGTCATTTGTTACTGGATGGAGTATCAGTATCAGAACAACTTCCGAGTGTGCGGAGCATATCCTTCTCTGTGAACAGAGTACAACAGCATCAATATTGAATCTCACCCGTTCTGTCCAGCTTGGATCCAGTGCGTTTCAATGGTTCTGAGCACTGCCAAGTTGTATCTGCTCATTTCCGTAGCTATTTGACTGGTGACTTTTAGTGACTCACGAAAACGAAAATACCTTGCCCCACGAAAAGTACCACTAATACCTACGGGGATAAGTGAAGAAACTCAGTAGGACATATGATAAACCATGAAGTCAATTGACTTGACAAGAAAAACAACTTAAAGAAATCCGGAACTAGAGAAGATATTGCCATAGTATCGGTGAATAAAAACATACATGTGAAACCAGCTGAGGATAAAAGCGTATACAAACCAATGAACAAAAATCCAGTCAGGTTAAAAGAAATATCCCAAGGACTTTAAACAGGTTCGTCAAAGCAGAACAAACATTGAAGAAAGATCAGTGGAGAATGAAACCCACTGGACCCGTTCTCCCTCGATTCTGTGGTAGGCTAAAAATACACAGACCAAACACCACAGTACTTCCAATTGTAGAACAACCCGGAACATCAATGTACAATTTCTTGAGATAAATTTCCCGTATATTGAGAGATTTAGTGGATTCATCTAATAATTCCATCAAATCTCCGGTACAATTCCTAGGTAAAATTAAGGAAATTCAATTTAGCAAAAACTAATTGATGATGTCCTTCGATACAGCAGCCTTATTCAATTTAACTGAACCAAGCCTAATAAAGGAAACTGTATTCTTTCTTCTCACCAAGGACACAAATCTCCTAAAGTACACGAAGCTCCAAAGTTAACCAGTACTCATCGATTTGTGCTCAACAACATATTTTCAATTCAACAACAAAATCTACAAACAAATGAAAGGAACGCAAATTGGATCACCAATATCAGGATTTATTGCAGAAGCAGTGACGCGCTGATTAGAAGCCTCGATCTTATCACCGATCAGACCAAAAATTTGGATTCGCCTTTTGGACAGCATATTCGTCATCGTCAAAAAGAACAAGCAGGAAAACACTAACAATCTGATCAATAACATCTTCGATGACATAATGTTGACAATAGAACAGGAATCAAACGACAAGCTATCATTCTTGGATGTATTGATCTCCAGAACTGGCATAGGAAAACTGGAGACTCAAGTTCATCGGAAGCCAATCCACATAGATCAAATCCTTAATTGCAGTAACAACAAACCAAGAACTCTCAAAATTAAACTTTATTCAAGAGGGCAAAAACACACTGCAAAACACTTGCAGCGCGGACAAATGAAGAAAAACATCTGAAAATTATCTTTCAAACGAACGGCTACCCAAACAATTTAATCAAAAAATATAAACTAAACGCATCAGCAGAAACAAAATCAAGCGTAGAAACCAACCAACGGTTCATCCTGCTACATATAAAAGGCATGTCAGAAATTACAATGAGATTGTTGAAGACTTTTGGAATAAATGTGACACACATAACAACAAAATCACTTTGACCAAACCTATGTAAACCAAAGGACGAAATGAAAAAGGAGAAAAAAACCGAGAATCATCCATAAAATGAATTGTTCCAACTACTAAAACACTGATGATGTCACAGGTATTCAGTGTTTGACAACGCTTCTACCAGTAACACCTTCTAATATATTTCGTTCCCGCCCAGAGAAATCAAAAGACAGAGTCGAGGAGATCGGAAGAGTATATTTGGCGATGACCAATATATCGGAATTCTCTGATCTAATCTGGCTAGCGATTGCGGTTGATGTTGAGCACGGCGTTACCACACGCGATCTGGTGCGGATGACTGACCGAGCGTCTTCAGCTAGGTGAGTCCACTAAAACATATGGTCAGCATCCAATGTCGAAAACTTAGTGCTATTTATTTTGGGGATTTATTTACCGCTACAACACTATGTCAGACAGAGTGGACCTCCTCTTCATCGACTTGCATAAACATCGATTGGCAGTCAAACGACATGACATACCCTCGCCTATATCAATGCATGTGGCCAAATGTGGACACACATTCGACTAAGAAAATGTAGAGGTCTTCGTTAGAGGGAATACTAAAAACACCAGGGAATTTTTAGAAGCTTGACACTCAGGTCGATCAGCTATCAAAGAGCATATTGAAATCGATCCAATTTATCAAGAAATCAGAAAAATTATGAACAAATATGGGACCAAGAATCAAATCGAAGGGGGATACAATCAACAGATTTTCCAACAGCTTTTTAAACAGTGCCTCATTTGTCAATGCAAAGGTCGCATATTGATTTCAATATCACACTTCTATCCTGGCTCCGAAACTACCTAGAGGACTCGACAATTCGTACCGGGTTTAGTAAGGGTCAATCTTAGTGTCCACTTCTGTTTTTAATACTTGTTACTATCTGCTAGATAAATTAGCTCTGTGGAGTAGAGACTTGACAAACTCGTAACTATTCGTGTAAAACCACCCACCGTATTGACAGGATATGCACGATGCATGTTTTATAA